CGGATTGAAAACGATTAGTAGCTAGAATATATTTTTGAACTTCAGAAAATAGTTTATAATTACTTTTTAAGTCTAATTCTTTAAAGCCATAAAGTAAACAATTTAATTTTTGCTTTTTTGAGAACAAATTTGTCCACAATGATCCACAAATCTGTGCAATTGAGGTAAGAAAAGAAGAACGTTGAGCAGCGAATCGAGGACATACAAAGAAAAAGTGCATTACTGTTTCATTCGAAGTCCCACAAACACATTTCGGAGAAGGCGAACAATTGATACGAAACAAATACTCATTTAAAGCACATGCTTCTAGTCTAAGCCGGGTGTGTAGAATAGACGCTGTTCTGGAAAAGGAATAATCAAATAATTTGTTATATTTTGGGGAAAAGAATTTGTCACAAATCTCGTTTTTAAAAGTTTGCAAAGATCCTATATTCCTAGTTTGTAGATCCAAAGAATTYCATAATTTAACAACCGACGGAAAAAAAGACTGTGCAAAACGTTCTGTCCTACAAGGAAAAAGACAGAAATTAGAATTTGATCTGAGAGCGCGTTTTGATTGCTGATAAACTGTGGAAGGAAGTAACTCGGAAAGATAGAGAGGGRTCGCATTTGACACAATTTTATAAAAATGTACAAGTTTATGAACTTTACGTCTAGAGCTTAACTCATCCCACGCTAATTCCTCACGTAAAAGTTTAGAACTAGTTCCTTCAATTGCACCAGTGACCACTCTGGCAGATTCGTACTGAATATGTTCTAACAATTCCACTTCAGCTTTAGAGCAATTATCCCAAATAACGTCAGCATATCCCAAATAACGTCAGCATATTCCAAAATAGACCTAATTAAACTTTTATATAAACAAATGAGAGTTGATCTATTTAGTTTATACTTTAAAGATTTCAGTAAATTAAGTCGTTTATAACGTGCTCTTTCCAAGTCATATTACTAGTCAAAGTTACCCCAAGATGCTCATGGGTTTTGACATCGTCAACCCTTCTTCCATCCAAAAAAAGGTCGGGGTGAGGGTCATTTTCACGTTTCAAAGAAAAAGTGATACACCGTGATTTAGAAGGATTTAATGTAACTTTCCATTTATGAGA